GGGGGTTTCTTGTATATGGTGGTTTAAATTTTGCCATCTTGGATATTGATCATGGTTTCCAAAAAGGAAAAGCCTTGTTGAACAAAGGCTTTAAATAGTTGCTTCAGTAAGAAAGGATAACTGATGGACCTGCTGCTGTTGATGGGCCATATTGCAAACTTCTGCAACACTGATACTGCACTGAAATAGTCGAATATATGCTGATTAGCAGCAGTTTGTTTTGCTATTTCCATTAATGTGGCATTTACTACATGGGCCAGAGGCACATTCTGACTGCTGCTTTCTCCATTTACCAAAACGCTGAGAAACAGGAGAGCATAAGATGGAATCACTTCAAAAAAGTAAAAGAAATCTGAAAATCAGCCTTACAATTTTTTCTTCCCAATCCATAGGCAATTGTTACAAGCATTTTCATTCTCTGTTTGCAAATACTCCATCCTGTTTAGGATATGCCAATTTTCTTTTTTCTTTCTTTCTTTTTTTCTTCCCCACACCACACATCTCTAGGTATATTTAGTTGTGCTTGAGTAATGTGTGTTGTTAGGGCGTCCCCTTGTGGCACTGTTGCAAATCTCTATTTGGCACTTAGTGAGATAAACTGCAATGAGACATACAAAAAACTAGACCTCCTGGTTCCAAAATGATACCTTTTATTAGACCAACTGGAAAATGGCAAGAAAATTGTCCTTTTCTGCAAGCTTTCAGGATCAAAGTCCCTTCGTCAGGCTCTGAGAAAAGTGTAGATGGTACAAGATGGTAAAAAGTCCCCACAGGTAGGAAATAAACTGACGAAGGGACTTTGATCCTGAAAGCTTGCAGAAAAAGACAATTTTCTTGCCATTTTCCAGTTGGTCTAATAAAAAGTATCATTTTGGAACCAAGAGTTCTAGTTTTTTGTGTATGTCTTTTTGTCTCAGACCAACACAGCTACCAAGTACACCCCTGACCCATAAACCGCAATGACATTTTTAATGATACAACCTGCTCTGGACAGATTGCCACCATAGTGCCTTTTCACTCCAGCATACATTTCCTCTGTTTCCAGGTGGCAGTAGCACAGTAGGCAACCTGACCACACAAAAGAAGAACATTTTTATTGTTAACCTTGAGTATCACCTGTAGCTGGCAGGTACATATGTCACACCAGATACTTCTTTGTACCAATTACACTTTATACAGTCAACTACACAAACCACAGAGGTTGTCTGTTTTGGTGCAGTACACCTGACCTCTAAAGTATCTCTCTGCTCAGTGACTATAAATGAGTTTTGGAACCAAAGAATGACAATTTTTTGGCTCTTGCCCTATTTACTTACTGTCCACAGAGTATTTAACAAGGAAACATAGTGTGAGTGACCATTTTAAAAATCTATTCACACATCTGAGACCGGAAACAGTCCACAGAAATATGCACTGGCAGGATAGAGCAAATGGCGGGAGCAGCTGTATGTCATCAGATAAGAATCTTACTTGGCATGCTGCATAACTAGCTGAATAAGAACAACAGAGCACTCACTTTTGTTCATTCAATGAACAATGGAAGAAATGCTCATTACCTTGAAGAAAAACCTCCGGTCAAATCTGGGCTCCAATGAAGTCAAAGACAAAAATCATAGATTCAGTAAATACAAGACATTACCCTGGGCTTCAACCTTTCCTTGTAAATGCTCTGTGAAAAACAATTTTAATTCAAGCTTAATTTTGCATTCATTATGTCTTCACTGGGCTGAAAGATATTGCTGCCTGAGTTAGTATTTTGATCACCAACATTTTGAGCCTAAACAGTAAATCGGTTAGTCTTATGTAGGATGTGAAAATAAGACTTCAACTTTGTTAACTGAAATGCTCACAGGGGTATTGGAAAATGTCATTCAGTGAAAATACGTTTTATGCACATTTCCCCTGTACTGTTGTGTACCTAAACCACTGCAATGTGCCCATCACGGGGTGGGGGGGAGAAAGAGGGAGGACACTTACCTCAAGGCTCACACAAAGCTTGCAGGGCTGTGTGAAGCTTCAGTCACTGATTCAATTTGGAGGAGATTCGGCCCGATTTGGCAGCCAAATCTCTGAATCTGAATCGAATAAGAAATTAATCTTTCTGAATCAAATCAGAAGCCTCTGAATTGATTTGGAAAGATTCAATGATTTGGCCATAGACAGCTTTATATGTTTTTTCTACATACCTCAAGGTACCAGGCACAGCTCATGAAAGCTGAGATGGTGGGGTGGATGGAGCATCCCATGAGAGCGCAGGGGGGTCCCCTGTGCGCTCAGCAGTGGATCTGGAAGAGGAACAGGAGCATTGGTCCACTTCCAGGTCCACCACGAAGCACACAGGGGACCCCACCTATCCCCCAGGTTGGCAACTGGTGCCTCCTGGGTCTGGGAGGATACCTGGAGTCCCCCAACAGCCAATTGCCAAGCTGGGAGGGCACAGGGGTGGGGGGTGCTACCACCAAGCATGCAGGGGGCCATCCCATGCTCCTGTGGGATGCTCCATCTGCCCCACCATCTCAGCGTTCACAAGCTGTGCCTGGTACCTCAAGGTATGTAGAAAAAACATATAAAGTAGGGCTGTGCGAAACAGCACCATTTCATTTCAACTTCCATTTTGCCATTTTTAAGGGACAGTGTTTCATTTCACTGTTCTGAAGTATTGTTTAGTTTTGTTTCATTGAAACTGTTTTGCTTTTTCCTTGCTGTTTCAACATGTTTTGACGTTTCACCCATAGGCTATAATGGGGAATCATGAAAGTGCCTATAACTTTGTCATTTCTTTCCTGATTTGAATGAAAACATCAGGGATGGTAGCCCCTGCTAAGGCCACAAAGTCTGCCACGCTTCAAGGAGATAGGTGCAAGGGTTTCTGGGAAACTGCACCTCAAAGTGCTGACAAGCAAAACTTGTGTCACGTATGTGTGTTAAGGAGGAACAGGGTGAAAACAGCAGGCATGTCTCAGCAGCCCCTGCTGAGACCATGAAGCCTTCTGGGTTTCAAGGAGATAGGTGCATAGGTGCTGATACTGCTGAGCTGCTGAAAGACACTGACCCCAAGGCACAGAGAAAGCTCAGTTCAAACAATGCTTTTTATGCAGTTTTTCCATCCCTCTCCCAGAGCACTGGGATTGGAAGGGAACTCAGGGAAGGGTCAGTCACTGGCCAGCTACACGTGTAAATATTGGATCAGTCCTTTCCCCTTCTTCCCCCTCCCTCCCTAATTTCTGTTCAGCTGCAAGCAAGCCTGGGTTTCAAAACTTGAAACATTTTGAAACTTTTGAAATGTTTTGAGCCCTCATTTCATTTCAAAGCTGTTTCGAAGCCTTTCACTTCATTTCAATTTTGCTGTTTTGATTTTGCTGTTTCAAGCTCCAAATGCGTGGAAACAGCTTCAAAACGAAACACCCATTGAAATCTCGCACTGCGCTAATATAAAACTGTGTCTATGGCCGAATTGCTGATACTCCAAATCAGAATCGAATCTTCAGATTTGACCGAATTAAATCTGTCGGGACAGTGATCCGAATCAGCAAATCAAATCACTGCCCCCTGAACTGGGCCAAATCCGAATCAAATACAGCCCGCTTTGCACACTCCTAAAAGCCTGCACATCAGGTACTAGAAATCCTTTTTCTCCTAGATCTTTGGTGAGGTCGCATCAGGCATGTATCAAGACTGGGTATCCTCTTTCTGCAGCTTGTATTAACTCCTGAGAGGGCTACTGCAAGCAACGATAGTTACTTTAAGGAGGTGCTGACTTGGCATCATGGTGCAAAAAAAGCACTGCCTGTCTCTCCATAGGAGCCATGCAGAGAACTGCAGACAATGTGGTGGTGCAAGGCCTCCTTTCAGATATCCCTGACCTCCATGCAGATCTCTCAGGATCTGCTGGCTTTTACAACAGTCTCCTGCTTCCACCAGCAGCAGTGTTCGCCAGAAGCAACACTTGCCAGCAGAATTCAGAAGTATCCTGGGAGGAAAATCTTGAGGTATTCCCTGCCCCACCATGTTTTTTTCTGGAGAGTCCCAGTGCCTTAGGGATTCTCTATTTAGCTTTTAAATACATGCAATTAGACTGCAGCACAAGTCCTATCAAACCACCCCACCCTCCTGGCAAAAAAAAATCCCCCCAACAGTCCCACAAGGGGACGCCCTAACAACACACATTACTCAAACACAACTAAATATGTCTGTCAGTCTCTTTGAATTTGTGACTTTCATCTGGAGTTCTTCACACGAAACACCGATGTGTTACTGCACACAAGCTAATCAAGCTCTATTTTTAAGGCTAGGGACAGAAGGTACACATAAACCAGTTTAAGTCATCAGAATTTGGTTTAAACCTGTAACAGAACAGAAGCTCAGTGCACATAAACAAGTTTCAAAATGGCTGATTTGGGTCAAACTGGTTTATGAAACTTCTGTCCCAGACCCCTTCCTGGTTCAGGTTAAATTACTCCCCTCAACATCCCAGCATGCTTTCCAGCCCTGGGCTTGGCTGTGCTGTCTGCTCCAGCAGAGAAGGGTTGTGGGGGAGGGGGAAGAGGCAGGGACTGCCCCCCCTTCTCTGGCAAACCCTGGGTGGTGTCTGGGATCAGGGAGGGGGGTTAAACTTCCCTTCCCCCAAATACAGAGTTGCCCTGCCCTGCTAAAAACTTACTGCTGGCTGCAACTGTGGACCACAAATCCTAGCGGCACCTGGAAGCAGGAAGTGATGAGCAACCCTGCAAAGTCCTGCTGCTGTAATTCTGGACTGCAAATCCCATAGAGCTTGGGGGCAGCAGGAAGAGGAAGCAAACATACAGCTCATGTGGGCTACATGCCAGAGAGCCATGCTCTAGTGCCCCCCGGCATCTGCCCTGCGCCACTGCAGGCATGGGGCTGCATTTCCTGAATCAAAACCAAATGTCTGTCCAATTGTTTCTCAGTTTAACTTCTACAGCTTAGACTGACCTGCAAAGACGGAATCGATTCAGCCTTAGGCTTTTTGACCATCTGTACTTAGCCTAAAGGGTTAATTAAAGCAACCCTTTCATTATTATTTATCATAAAACTATTTATTTTCTTTCCATACACAGGCTTGGTTTACTTGCTATTTTAAATAAAAACCACCACCACTGAGGGCTTATACATAAAATATAATTGTAAATAGAGTATTTTCATGTTCAATGTTAATGCCTGCATTGTATTTTACAATATAGGTCAACAAGAATAGCAATTTAGAAATAGGAATTTACGTACTGGCAATGGAACCAGAAACCTCTATTTAAGTATGATATAGTGATTAAGAAAAAGGGTGTCATTTTGTCAGACAGTTATTCACACTGAATACTGAGTACTGTTAATGGGACTGCACGCATGCTTTAAATTAATCACGTGTCAGCATTTGCAGTAGTGGGACCTTAAACAGTTAAAGAATGCTAAAGAACTCCCAAATATCTGTTCATATGCCTCCTCTTCTATATATTCTCCCACCCTTTTTCAACGAAGTAATATCAGATAGATTTGCCTTTTCTTTATGTTATAAAAAACCTGAATGTTATCCTCCTAAAATTAATTGAGAGTTAAGCAAGGTGTAAGTCCTCGGAAAGTTGATAGACTTGGTGACAGCAATAACTTTGTATAACCCTATACCATTCAGAACATGCAGACGTATGCACAGCTATGAATGTGAAATATAAAAGTCTGACAATTCTAAAGTATACTTTAAAGACGTGTTCCCAAAGGGTCCTTGTAAAGTATCATTAACTTAAAATGAATATTTGGCACGAAACAGATTTTTTACTCCAACAGAACTATTTTGATAACCTTTCAAGAGAATCAGCCTATTGATTATTAATTACTATTGTAGACTTTTAATGATAAATTGCTTTGGTAGATCAGGCTATTTCCTGTTGGGCTCTGAGGGAGGCCTTGGCATTGACCTGTGGTGCTTCAGGGAACGACAGAAAGAATGCTGGGTAGTCGTTTACCCTATTCATGCTGGGGTGCACAGTGCAGGGAAACTTTGGGAGATTCATACATTTCCCTTGAAATAGAAGGCTTCACAGTACATATTAATAAATGTTTAGTTAAGATGTTTTCATATCTTTGAGTTACCGTCACATGGGGAAAGTTCATTTTAAAATAAACATTCACTAATATGAACCAGGAAGTTTGACCTTTCCAGACAGGCGTTTGTACCAGCGAATTTTTTCAATGGTGCAGACACATCTGGGGTTGGTACAGAGTACCATTCACACTACAGAGCCCAGCATAAGAACTTTTCCAAGCTATTTCTTGCAGAGTATTATTTGCTGTTCTTCCTTCCCCTAATTACTGGACCCCACAGAGATTCCTTAGCTGCTTTTGTGCTTGAGGCATGGTTTTACTGTTTGTGCTTCAGCATTATCATTTGAGGGTTAGCACAATATGCAGTGGTTTGCTGAGGAAACAAAGGTGCAGAGATAGATGAAGACCATCAACAGTTGGTCTGTAGCAGCGGATGGATTCTTACTGAGTATATAAGTCTCTATCACTAATCATCAATTCTAACTCATAAGTCTATATCACCAATAAACAAGGATTGAAATAACTTGAGGGCTGACTGCCCAAGACAGTGACAAAGTGATCCAGGTCTAGTAAACCTGACTGGGGTGGATATAGACGGGGTGTAGGCATGGATAGAGCTGAGGCTGCCAATTTTATAGCATCAGCTTACCCTCCTCCTCTGGTGGCACCCCGAAGGTATAAGGAGCATGAGCACAAGGAGTATGAGGAGGTGTGGGAAGACCTAGGTATGGAGCAAGAAATTAGTGGCCTTGTACAATGCCCTTGACTGACTTCAAACTTGCTAAGCACAAATCCAGTCTAGAGCTAATGCAACTCAAAGTAGCCTTCACTATGACTTGGGCCCTCTCCGCTGTATCATTTTTTGTGTCACCCTGGAAGCTCTCTGGCCTCTCTTCTTGTGCAGGGAAGAGCACAGGATAAGATGGCTATATGAAAGCTAGAATCAGGACAGAAGCTGAAGAAAAGGTGAAAAAGGTAAAAGATATTTCATGAACTGTTGAAAGGCATTGATTTAAAAGAAATGAAGGCTTCTAAGGGAGACTGATTTTAATGACAAAAGAGCTGGGCACAAGGTAGAGTAGATTTGCACATTACAGACCAATGAAATCAGAGATGTGCACCATAAGCTTTTGTAAGTTTACTTCATCAGATGCTGTGTTAAAAAGAGTTAACCGTGTTTCATTCCTCAAGTGCTTTCACAAACATGGACATAACAAGTTAAGTAAGTAGCCCAAAATTGGAAAGAAATTAAGTATCGGAAAGAGATGAAAACTCATGGTTTCAGACTCCCATGTTTACATCAGAGTCATCTAAGGGTAAAATATGATGTTGTTTTAGAAGCTACTGATCTTTGGAGACCCCATAATAGTTAGGTTCTCTAGTAATTTATAGCCCTGGAAAGACATTAAAGGAGACTTCAAGTGACTACTAAATTGCAGTGAAAGCCTGAGGTTATTTGTTGGTATATTAGACACTATATAAAATGACACAGAATATTTAGTTTAGAAGCACCATTTTTAGACATTTTACTACCTACAAATGTATTACGTCTTTTCCTGAATGAGTGTTGTTTGGCTCGGTGCCTGTTGTTTAGCTCTACACAAGTAACCTCTAGACTCATTCATTTGTAGAGTCTTTAAACAGGACAAATAAAAACAAAGAAGCAGAGGAAAACCTATGGTTTCTTATCAAACCAAGACACACAATTTATCTGGCACATGCAAGTAAATCCAAAAAGTGCATTTAAAATAAGTTTGAAAGTTAAATTATGTAGTAAGTAGAGGAGGGTCCGAGTAAGGAACCTTAAAACTTCTTTCCCATAGAATGGACAATTAAAGGAGGAAATCGTTACAGAGTTTGCATAACTTGACTTAAAAACAAACAGCCCTGCTAGGCAACAAGCCCACAGTTCTGCATTACTAATATACACAGCAAACATTAAAGCTCACGATAACTTGTCACTTTTTGATGGATGGTGGAAGATTCCATTCTTGATGTAGAAAGTATCCCTTACAATTCTAGACTTGGCATGCATTGGAGCCTTGCCTTCTGTAACAAAGCCTCCTGAAAAATAAGAATATGCTATTATCTTAATACATTAAACAGTCTGATAGTCACACTGATAACATAAATTTGCCTCTACATACCAGGCCTAACCCTACATCATAAAGCTAAATATCCTTCACTCCCATGAAACCAGCACCTCAAAAACTGTGCTCAGGACCCCCGTTGCCTATTTTAGTTGATTCCCCCAGCTTGCGACAGTCACAATCTGGAATATTAATTAGGTAAAAGTGAGATATGTGCCTCTGGATATTCTGACTTTTGCAAGCTTCCAGAGAGGTACTTGCTACATGGGTTTTTTTTGTTTTTTTAATGTAGCATGAAAGCATGGAGGAATTCAGCACGCAGGAGAAAACACCATACTGCACTGCAGCCCTAGGTAGCTTGTCTCCTCCTCTTGTTATTGGCTGGGATCCTAGCCAGGAAGAGGAAGAGGCCCACACCCAGTACCCTTTCCTAAAGGCACATTAGTCTTGTTTTGGATCCCAGGCACACCCTGAAATAACTGCTATTTTGCTACAGTTTTCAGCAAAATTGAACAACTTATTTTTTTTTTAAATACAGGCAGTCCTCAGCTTACAACATTCTGAGTTACAACGTTTCGCACTTACAACAATATAAATTGACACCTTGTTTCAACTTTGATGTTAGTTTCAACTTTACAATGCTTGATCCAATGTGACGCCTTGCCACGCCAGCAAACAAGTTTGTTGTGTCACCATCTCCCTGGAGAACATCTGTCCAAACTTCCTTGGACACTTTCTTTAAGAAAGCAGACAAGACTCCAGAAAAACCTGCAGCCAAGACTCCTGAGAAGACTCCAGCCAAGAGCCCTTCAAAAAGTCCAGCAAAGTCACCTCAAAGAAGTCCTTCCAAATCAATATGATTGCTATTTACAATATAAATACATTAATGTAGCTATATTACTCATCTATAGTTGATTGAGTACAAAATTCTGGGGTATTTTTGGTGAAAATAGGGTATTGGGCTTTCGTTCATGAACTAATCCCCCATTTATAACATTGTTTCTTGTGAGAAAATTGGTTCCAAGTTACAATGTTTCGATTTAAGTTGTGGTTTTCAGGAACCAATTGTGTGGCAAGTCCAAGGACTGCCTGTAAAGACACCCCCCCCCCCCCCCAAAAAAAAGCAGGTTAGGCACCAGGCAAATTAAATAACTCATATGTAATAATTATGCCCTGGCACTATAAATGTACACTATTCAACTAAGTTATCCCAAAGACACCAACAGGCCTGTTCACGAGACCAAAGTTAAGCCCATGCATTGACACTAGTAAAACTGGAGCCATAGAGACGTACTAATAACTCAAGGGAAACAAAGTAAGGGTTAACCCTTTTTACTTTTATGGCTGTAATCCAGGGGGACTAAACCAGCAGGGTAGGAAAGAGGAGAAAGAAACTGAACATTACTCCTGGTTGGATTTCCAACAATTAGTCTACAAGCAACTCTCCACCTTACCTAAGCGCCAGCCATACTCCCAGGATGACAGCACTGGATAAGAGAATTTATCCTCTGGGCTCTTCTGCTTTCTCTCCTGCAGATACAGGTGCCTCCCTTTGCCCTCCCAGGATATGCCCTGGTACAGCAGACGCATTGTTCCTGGGGATGCAGGTCTCATCTCAGGAAGAAGGGGCTCCTGTACCCCCTCTTCCTGCTTCCTGGGAAGGCTGACATCCTTTGGCTGCCTCTCTTGATGTCTTATCCCATTTTTCTTGAAACCAGTTCCCTCCCCCTGATTCCCTTCCTCCTGCTCCCTGGGGGAGAAGATAGTTGGCAGAAAACATTTCCTCTTGGGACCACTGCAGGGCTGGAGCCTGGGAAACTTGTGCCCATATTTTGTGTTCCAGCCAACTCTACTAAATAACTCCTTCTCAATCAACTCCTTCCAGCAATCCTGGTTTCTTGTGGTCAGTAGATCCTTCATGATCCCAGGCAGAGGGCCCTGGCCCTGGAGCAGGAGGCTGGAATCCGGCTGCGGTGTGTTGTGTTTGGTACTAGTTATTTCCTGCCTCTGGTGTCCAAGGAAACAGAGGCACAAAGGGGTCAGTGGAGCCTGGGCTCAAGTTACAGACACTTCACAGAGGAAACAGAGAAGGGTCCACACAAGAGTCTCCCCTGCAGACATGCATCTTC